CCCCCCCCCCCAAAACACAAAAAAAAAAAAAAAAACTCTTATGAATTATTTCTTGAATTCAAAAGAGAATAATTGAATTTAAAAGTCATCATTTAATAGCTATTTTACTTTCTCCACGTCTTCTATGCAATTATGAATTCCCGTTCAACTTTAAAAAATCCAAGCCAACTAAATGTTTGTTTGGCACAAATCATTTGAAAATCACTTTTTCCTCAAAACTCATTTCCAATTGTACATTTTACTAATAAAATAATTTTACGCGAAAATCTATAATTTTCCCTACTTTTTAATTATACATTCTCTAATAAAAAATATTTTTCACTTCAAATAAACAATCCCCAACAAACACTAACTAATTACATGGACGGGATATTAGTGAAAAAATAAATATTGTTCATTATACAGTCCAACACTATTCAAATACTGCGTACCAAATATGATGTAACTGTAAGACTTAAACTCGATCCTAAACAAGTATGCGGAAACAAATTGGATCGAGAAATCAAAAATCGTACCTCCAGCCATTGATGTATCTCAAAAAGCTTCTTGCTTCAGATAATGGTTCTTCCAGACTCTCAACACACTTTATGTGATGGTGTATACTGTATTTCGGGTGTGTAGAGCTTGGGGACAAAAACGAAAATTTATAGCCGAGTTCCATCAAACTCTTTATGGCTAGACGTCTAATGTCGCTAGAAAATCAAGGCAAGAAATGCAATGGGGCGAAATTGGTTCAACTCGGACCATCAATCTTAGAGTTTCCAAATTTGTTCCCGGAGGATTTGGAATTCTCTTAATTGGAAATTCCAATATTCTCCCACTTGATCCACATGTTTAACTCAATCTCTTAACTTAAACCCATTTAATATAATCCTTAAAAAACAAATACATGAATCATGGCTGTAAGTTTTCTAATAATGATTATTAGCTTCCATGTATTACAATGTATCTAATTTTCAAAATATTATTCTTCATGTGACAACTTTTACTTAATAAATAAACCTAATATTTATTCTTGGTCCTATAAAGATATATTTTCTCAAATAGATTAAAGCGCGCATAAAATGAGAAAATATCACAATAAATAAGAATTTCATTAAAATAACATTGTTCACAGAATGAAAAATTACATAGTGGAACCAAGTCCCATTGACACTACATGATTCTTGAAATTCAATGGTGGCATGCCCTTAGTCAAAGGATCAGTGATCATCAAATCAGTGCTAACTTGCTTAATGACCACTTTCTTTTCCTTAATACGTTCCCTTATGACGAAGCACTTGATGTCGATGTGCTTACTTCGACTTCCACTGTTGTTATTCTTAGCCATAAAGACAGCAGTCAAATTATCGTAATATATTCTCAATGGCCTAGAAATAGAATCCATGATTCTAAGCCTAGATATGAAACTCTTTAACCATACACCATATGAAGTAGACGAACTCAGCTTCCATAGTGGAAATAGCAGTCAAAGTCTAGTTGGCACTCTTCCAAGATACAGCCCCATCGATCATCATAAAGATGTATCCCGATGTTGATTTGCATGAATCAACACAGCTAGCAAGTCTGAATTCGGGTAGTCAATTACTTTCAAATTGTCCATTCGTCTATACATAAGCTTTTAGTCCTTTGTTCCTTGAAGGTACCTTATTACTTTCTTTGCAGCTCTCCAGTGGTGCATACCTGGATTACTCTGATATTATCCCAAAATTCCCACAAAAATGCAATGTCAGGTCTTGTGCAGACCTAAGCATACATCAAGCTTCCAACATCAGGAGCATATAGAATGTTCTTCATTTGTTTCCTTTCAAAATCATTTTTCGGTTATTGATTTAAGTTAAATTTATCACCTTTAACAATGAGAGCTGCACTTGGTGAATAATTTTTCATCCAAAATCTCTCTAAAACTTTATTGATATAGGTTTCTTAAGACAAACCTAAAATGCCTTTAAAGTTGTCTCTATGGATCTTAATGCTAATGACATAAGATGCATCTCCCATATCTTTCATGTCAACATTTTTAGAGAGAAATTGTTTCACTTCATGTAACAAACCCTTATCATTGGTCGCAAGTAGAATGTCGTCCACGTATAAAATAAGAAAATAGATCTTACTCTCACTAACCTTCTGGCATATACATTGATCCATGATGTTTTCTACAAATTCAAATGAGAAAGTTACATCATGAAATTTGAAATACCATTGACGGGACGCTTGTTTTAAGCCATATATGAATTTCTTGAGCTTGCAGACCAAATGCTCACCATCATTAGAGAGGAATCCTTCATGTTGTTTCATGTAAACCTCTTCCTCTAGATCTCCATTGAGAAATGTCGTTTTCACATCCATTTGTTACAATTCTAAATGAAAATGGGCTACCAATGCCAAAATGATGCGTAAGGAATCTTTCTTAGATACGGGAGAGAAGGTCTCCGTGTAATTGATTCCTTCTTTTTGAGTGAATTCCTTAACAATGAGTCCCACCTTGTATATCTCAATGTTGCCCAATGAGTCTTTCTTTATCTTAAAGACCCATTTGCATCCAATGGCTCTTGTACCATCAGGCAACTCAACAAGACTCCATACTTCATTACTCTTCATAGAATTCATCTCTTCCTTCATGGCATTATACCATAATTCTGATTCTTTACAACTCATGGCTTGTAAAAAAGACTTAGGATCATTTACGACTCCAATGTTGTAGTCAGATTCTTGTAGATATACAACATAATCACTAGGAATTGTTGATATCTTTGTTCTAATAGATCTTCTTAATGTCGTTCCATTATCTTCCTGAGAGGAACGTGGTTCAACCGATTGTTCAAAAGTCCTTGGCAACTCTTGAATTACCTGATCTACTGGGATGTTGTCAACAACTTGCGGAACTTCAACAATTGTTGTTGAATACCAGTTTGTACTTGAAGAGTGCTGTGAACAATAACCAATCTATTACTTGAGGTGGAAGGTTGAGATCCTGAATGATCATTCTTAGAAACTATGTTCCTGATTTGATCGCTCCCACTGATCAAGTCATTCTCAAGAAACTTCGAATTTCTTGACTCCACAATCCTAGTGTTGTGAGATGGACAATAGAATATATACCCTTTTGACCTTTTAGCATATCCAATGAAATACCCACTAATAGTCATTGGGTCTAGTTTATTCTCTTGTGGATTTTAAACTCTTACTTCAGACGGGCATTCCCAAATGCGCATATGTCAGAAACTCGATTTCCAACCTTTCCATAATTCGAATGGTGTCTTTAGGACAGTCTTAGTTGAAACTCGATTTAATATATACATAGTCGTCTTAAGTGCTTCAGTCCACAATGATCTAGGAAGATTGGAGCTGTTAAGCATTCTCCGCACCATGTCAAATAATGTTCTATTTTCTTTTTTCTAATACACCATTCTAGTCTGTGAATCAGGCATGGTGTATTGGAAAACTATCTCATTCTCTTGAAGAAACTTTGCAAACGGACCATGTGCTTGTCCATCCTCCATGTATCTACCATAATATTCTCCACCTCTATTTGATCTCACAATCTTAATCTGCTTTTCGCATTGTTTCTCTACTCCAGCCTTAAAAATCTTAAAGGCATCTAATGCTTCGTTCTTGTTGTAAAGCAAGTAGAGATACATGTATCATGAGTAGTTATCTATAAAAGAGATGAAGTATCTCTAACCATGTGAATTTATGTCTGGACTACATATATCATTAAGCAAGATTTCTAATATGTTCGAACTCGTATTGGCGCCCTTCTTTGACTTGTTGGTCTGCTTTCCCTTAATGCAGTCTACACAAGTTTCAAAATCAGTAAAATCTATAGCATTAAGTACCCCATCATTTACTAATATCTTAATTCGCTCTATGGAGATATGTCCCAATCCCCGATGCCATAATTTAGAGGAATCCTCATTCATAACACATCGTTTAATACCAGTGTGAACATGCATAGCACTATAAGTGGTGTTATTTTGTAAATTGAGAGAGAAAAGACCGTTAGACAATGTACCATTCCCTACAAGATCAGATCCATAAAATAAATTGAAAGTTGATTCTTAAAAATTAAAGGAATAACCCAAAGATACAAGTCTTGAAATTGAAATCAAATTTCTAGAGAAACTTGGAATATAAAAATGTCTTTTCC